AAGTAGCCCCCCCTTAGCTATCTTTTGCTGCATTTTTTTTCAAAACTAAGTCAGAGAGAGACCTCTTGTGCAACCATTCTAATGTGTTTAGAACGCTCATCCTTCCTCTCTCATCCTGTTACTGCGCCAGCTAACATTTCCTTTCCGAGTTGTTCACCGACTCCAGCCAGCTCATATTTTCGCTGACTTTTTGAAAAACTGCCTTTCCTAACAACTTCTGGAGTCACGCTGGCCAGAGTGCGAATCCCACAGCACATGTACCTACTAGCTGTGGGACCTGGGGCCTCTGGCTTAAAACCCTCTGGGCTTCCCTTTCCTCTCCTGCGGTGACAACCCCGACTCCCAGGATGATGTGCGAATGACGCTAGCCAGCCACACCACCCAGCATGTTTCAGCCATTCGGTAAATACTGGCAGTGTCCCTAACGACTCCCCTCCTGGGTCTGCAGCCCGCTCGAGGGTCGTTCTCCCCCAAATCTGACCACCCAGTGTCTCCAACTTCTCAAAGAGGGCCAAGGGCCGAGGGGAGTGGGAGGAATGGAGCCGCGGCCCGCACCTTTTGGTCCAGCTCCAGGCGGTAGGGCACCGGCTGGATCCTGCGGGGCGGCCGCGAGCCGGCGCGGGGCTGGGGCCCGGAGCCGGGCAGCACGAAGGTGGGCACGCCCAGTGCCCCGGAGAAGCTGAAGCCCCACACGAATATGCGGTCGACGCGGGCCGCACGCTCGCCCACGTACTGGAACACGGGCGCGTCTGCCTCGGCCTCTGCCGCCTCGCGCCGGCTCCGGGAGCGCCGGGCCGCGGTCCAGTGCCCTCGCCCGGGTCCCGGACCCGTCAGCCGGCGCCCCAGCCGAGGTCCCACCGCCAGCGCTACCAGTGCCATCCTCTGCTTCACGCCTCAGCAGCCCCTGGGCGCCGCCATTTTGCGTAACCCTTGACCCCACGCCCCGGCGGAAGAGCCCGCGATCACGCTCACTACTGGCTGAAGGCAAAAGGGCTGAGGGCAGGCAAAGGCTCAGCGGGCCGGGAGGGCTAGGCGGAGCCAGGTATTGCCAATCCTTTTTGAGCTGGCGGTGAGGACCTGGTCCTGGCCCTGCGTGTCTAGTGCGCGACTGTTGTCCGAGCTCCGGCGTCCAGCCTTAACTCACGTTCCTGCTCAACGCACGTTTGCTGAGCCTGGCTCGGGCGGGCGTGCGCGCTTTTTTTTTT